TGATGTACACACTGGGGAAAAAACCAACAATCCCAGTTTTTCATGTGAAGTGAATGACTTACCACTTGCTTACTAGATCCTTGTGTTAACTGTTCTTTAAATAATCATCTCAGTAACAAAAAAAGCAAACTGTTATAACTAAGAGACAATAGTGCACCATAAGTCATTACAAGGACCCTGTAAATAATCAAGATTTGAATACAGTGAGGGGAATGGAACTGCCTGTAGAACCAGCACTGCTTTGGGAAAGAGCAACACAAAGGATCAGGGTGTTTGCTAGTTTCCCTGTAAAGGAGTAAGTGAATTGTCTAAAACTGTACAGGCTGTTAGAGCGGTGACCGGGATGAGCATGGAGAAGGAAAGAAACATGACTGAGATCACTAAAAGCTAAGTGGTTTGGAGAACAGCTGCAGCAGTTTAAGTGGAACAAACGTCTTCCAGCTTCTGCAGCTGTGGGTGAGGCCAGAGTGAGGAAGGTTGCGCTCCTGGTTGCAGTTCATCTCCATCCGTGCCTCCCAGGCCCTCCGGCAGAGGTCAGGGAAGACCGCTGGTAGCAGCAGCCCAATAGCACTGATAAGTTTCAGAGCCTGAGCTTTGCTTTTGTATGCTAGCCTAACGAATGTAGCGACTCCATCTACTGATAAAGCAGTTTCTGGAGAAACTTAAATAAGCAGATAGAATATTCATATGAACAGAATATAGAATATCTGGGTAACATTTCTTTTTCCCCAGATACCATACCACAGTGCAACTTTATGACTTCGTAAATGACACTTCAAAGCAGGAAAGGAGCAGAAAGAAACTACAGACAAAAAAATGGCTTTAACAGAAGTGGCTGGAATAGTTAAGAGAGGTAAGTTTTACTTAAATACTTTCCTAAGAAAAATCAGTATGGAAGAGTACTTCTTGCTGCATCTTAAAACCAGCTACTTTTACAGGTACAGACCATAGTTTTTCAAACATTGCTGTCAAGATTTGCAATAGCTAGTAATTAATTTGAATACTTTAAAACATTTAACCTATAAAGCCCAAAACACAGAGTTCTTGATGCCTGGTTTGTTTTTTTCAAAAATATGCCAGGACAGTCCCTCTTCCTCTCCTCCTTCCCACCCCACAAGACAGAGGATTTCTGAAGACTCATAACTTCAGGGAAAACAAACAGACAGACCCCACTCTCTTCAGTTGTCAGGCACCCATGGCATTCATCACAGCAGCCCAACTCACAGTTTATGTTAGAAATCTTCCGAGTTACACAGTTTATGAAACATCTGAGGAATATTCTGTATCTGATTTCAGAGGGTAACAGCTGGACTGCAAAAAAATGCACGACAAGTCATAAATGACATAACTCAAATAGTGCACGTTTATTCTGAACAGTATTTCTAAAGAGTTTGAGAAAAACAAAAACATGCTCCTGATGTACAACAAGGGCAATGATATAGATTAAAAATGGACCATCTTATTGTAAAGAATTTGCTCCCCCTGCAACTTAACTTGTAACATTGAGAATGCATCTTTAAACTGCATACAGCATACCTTTGACTAAATCTTAACTCAAGAGACCACGGGTGGTCTTACTCAAATTAATCAAGAAGCATTTGCAGATTCAAAAGAAACATCCAAGTCAGCAAACACTTTACAAAACACAGACTTTGTGCATAGCAGCTGATCCTGGATTACAACATGGGGGAGAATAAAACAATTTGGGGGATCAAATTTGTACTAGACACAGGGCACCATCAAGATTTAATGAAATATCACATAAGTTTGTTTCAATTGTAACAGTATGTCATATTTAGTTGGCAGGTTTAACCATTAGCTGCATCATGTAAACTCAGCCAGTTTCTGTATACACAAAATAAATTCTCTCCCCCCTCCCAAAAATGAGGGATATCTCTCCTGGATGATTCTTTTTCCCCTGTACCATGGTTTCCTCTAGTAGGTGTCTTTTTGTATATAGTATCTTCATACTTCAACTGATGTATGACAAAACCAGTTGCAGAGATTCAGGAATAACTCGTATATACACAATTTACATTCTAAAGCTGTTAGTTGCATACACTTTTCTTGCTAGATCTTCATCCAGAACAGGAAGTGCTGGTGGGTTTTTTTCCCTCACCACTGAAGTTCCCAACTTTTAAAAAATTTAGTTGTTCATAAGCTGTTATTTTCAAGCTAAAAGGAGGTCCTGCTGCAGCAACAACCAAAGTAACTGAAGTTCTTTGCAGTAAGCCCATACTTCACACAATTTCAGTGTCTCTTGGTAATCGCACTAAGATACAGCATTCTCCTCCCACATTCAACACGGCTGATATACTCATAAGATACAACTGTTTGTCATCCAGACTGACCTTCACTTGCCCTTTTCCATGTACAGGGAATACAACTTTCTACACGATTTAGATTAAACCTTGTATTCAAGAACCGTTTTCCAGGATTAATAGCCTGGGAAAAGGAGTCTCAGATTTGTGGTTACTCTCTCTTCCACCTCCTACAAAACATTTTATCAGAAGTTACAATGAGGCAGGTTTGCTGTGGAATAGGAGCTTTAAGAATTGTTTTCAGGGATACATTCATAGAATGATGGCAGCCCAAAGCAAAAAGAGACAGAAACAAAGGTTAATCCAAGTAAGTTCAGACATCAGACTCATACTTTTAAACCTGAAGGAAAACTGTCTGTGAAACACACCGATTTGTGGAAGCCTACGACAACAGCAAATCCTAAGAGTTCATATGCCCACACCCATCTACCCAACCCAAACACTTACCACTTAGTTCTAGAAGAATGAAGAGCACTTTGCTTGGCACCAGAGGCAGCTATGGTCTGAGTTACAGCTGTGCTGCACAAACATCCTCAAATACAATACTATCTCTCTCCCTCCACATACTTCTCTTGGTTTGTCTACAGATGGCCAGGGAAACTATGTTGGCATATGACAAGCTAATTGTGCTTCAATACATCCTGTTCTAGAAAGATGCTGGAACTGCCAACATAACCAGTGCAAGCAGGTCCTAGCAGTACTAAAAACAAGCTTTTGTCAAAACTAGGCTGCCTCTGGCCAAGGAAACCGTTTACATCTTTCTAGCCAGAGTGTGCCACCAAGCGCTGCTAACACAGGTGCTCAGGCCATGCAGAGGGGCTTTTGTTGTTAGTGATCTGCCCATCCCCAAGACTCAACTAGTGCAAACCCAGCAAATAAAGTAGCCATTTTCCAGCATAGGTCTGTCAAGATACACTCCAACAAACACTATGCACCTCTGGGAAAGGAGTAGTAATTCTGGAGCAGCTTGTATAGTCACCCCTCAGCTATCAAAGACCACATAATGTGCAACGAGGGGTGCCTTCCCTTGCCTCACCAAACTCCCATCTTGGAATCCATCGTTCCCAAGTCACTGTCAAATGACTGGACAGCACCTACTAACCAGATGTATGCTGCAATGCACACTGTAGGTTGGAGGCTTTCAAAGCGGATGAATTCAAGATGTGGATTTAAACTTTAAAAAAGAAACAGGAAAGGAATGCAGTTCAGTATCTACCTGGGGGATGGGGCAGGTTGGTGTTGTCTCAGCTCAGTGCACTTTCCTAGGTGCTTGGAGAAGAGTCCAAGCTCAAGTTGGTATTTGTATTGGCATACATAAAATTGCTGGCAACAGTGCATAGAAAGGAGCACTGATACTCACGCAAACAAAGCATGAAAGGATGCAAAGCAGAGCTTAGTAGAGTTTACTGTAGCTTTGAGGTTACAGTACTAGGAAGAAGCCAGTCAGCCTATTTTCCAAACCCATAAAATGCTCTAATATATGCTGCTTTCTCCGGTGCTCCATGAACACCCCCTCACGAGAGAACTGCATTATTACCACTGAACAGGGAAAGGGGAAAATAAATCTTCAAAGGAGCAAACTGTGCAGTTCTTCACCACCTCCTCTTGAAGGAGCACATAAACACAGCAAGCCAAGCCAATTCCAAGCAAATCCAGGAGACCTCTGCAAAGCTATGTGATTAGGGTCAGATTCGTGTTTGCCTTCTCAGCCTTGCTGCCTGGTTTCCTCAACCCTTGCCTCACCTCAGATATGTCACCACAGATTCAGTAGCTCTAACAAATTTTTCTGGAGATGAGTGCTTGCTTTATGTGATCAAAGCTGGTAAGGTGGTCGCAGTCACTTTCCCCATCCCAACAACACAGTTAAAACTAACTCTCAATGAGCCCTACAGCATTTCACCCATTTTTAAAGCAAGGGTCTTGCCTCAGGATTCATATTTTTACAAGGTTACTCTTGCCAACACCAGGATCTAGTTCTTACTCTGGCAGAAGTCTGCTGGGAGTTGGGTAAATGAAAATAAGAAAAAAACAAAGACCACTCTAAACCCTCCTCTCAGTCAGTTAAGAAGTGTAGCACCAGCTTGGGTGAGGAGTATTTTAAAAAAGCATTCTAAAAGATCAGCCCAGGCAGAGTGAAAAGGTATGGTAAATTATCCCACCCTTCTCAGCAAAAGATGGAGGAAAAAGCCATACTCAAAAATACTGGGAAGAACTAAACATACTTTTTTGAGGCGGGGGAATTAAAAGGAAGAGTGGGAAGTACTGAAGTAACATTCAAAGGTTAGGGGGAAGTATAGTACCCTGTAGGTTATAAAAAACACAATAACGTAGGAGTCAAAGGACAAGATATTGCTTTTCCTTTTTTCCCCCCATTGGTTTTACATTCTGCTTACTGAAAGAGATAATTCTGAAGGAAACTTGTCATCAGGATAACCTGCTGAAGCCCTCCACACCTCAAACTTAAGAGATCTGCACACCTTTTCCCACCCCCCCAAAAAAAAGCAACCCCAAAAAAACCCAAAACAAAAAACAAACCAGAAAGGAGAGCTCAAAAAAAAAAAAAAATCCAAAACCAACCAACCCCAAACATGATTGGACAATCCTTGGAAGAAGCATTACATTTTGTTGGAGAGACGTCAAGAAAAAAAAATTTAAAAGGATGAAGGGGTGGAGTTAAAAAAAAGGAAAAAAAAATCGAGAGGCCTCTCTTTCCTTATTTGGCGACAAGCAAGTGCAAGAAAGTGTTCGTTGGGGTTTTGTTCAGTTGTCGGTCTTTTGCACATCTGCGTTCTGGCCAAGACAAGGGGCTTTGAGGTTTTTCTGCAGCACATGAGCATCTGCAGGCTCTATCCTCTTGTAGTAGTTTTTCTTCGTCTCAATGATCTCAAAGCCAAACTTTCTGTAGAAGTCAATTGCGGACTCATTGCTGATCTGGACATGCCTGGGACAGGAAGGAGGATAGAGAGACAGGTATCAGAACTTTCTGCAGTACAGTATTCTTTCTCCCCATTCAGAATGGTAAAAGACAAGGTAAGAAAAGGAGCTGTCTATATAGAGACAGAAATGATAGTTTAAAAGTTCAGGACTGGAAATTTTGGTCTTCCCAAGTCAATCCTGAGCTAACATACAGCACCTTGATGGCCTGTGGCAGTCACTCTGAGAAGTGGCAAATGTTTCCCCTCAGTAAAGCTCTTTTAAGGAACACAAATAGCATAGACACTCTGAAGCATTACTAGCTCCATAATTTCAATTTTTCTTAATCTGGAAGTGACAGATATTTTATGGAAACATGTAACAGAGTTTTACTGTCGAGCCAATTTTAACTTCCTGTAGTGACACTTCTCAGGTGACCAAAACAGTTGTCCGAGTGATGATTCCTACATGCTGCAAAACAAAACTGGCAACGGTGTCTGATACCATTTTAACTCCGTGCTCACTTCTAACTAGCCCCATCTCCTCACAAAAAGCTATGGCAGCACAAAGAAGCCCTATGGAACTACAAAGTCCTTTCCCCTTTTACCTATTTCCCCCAAAGTTTTACAGATCTTGCTAGCATATTCCAAGAGTTTCAAGGCCTCCAAAACAAACAGCCATCAGTTCTTCATCCTAAGCAACTAAGACATTTATTTGCACAAGTTCTATCAAAAAAAAAAAAAAGTTTGGCTCAGCAAGAGGCATTCATTAAACACTCTCAAAATTCAGTGGACACTGCACAAGCTCATGAATCACTTTGTCATGACAACATGCTGCATAACCACAGAACGAAAAAAACTCTGGAAGCAACAGCAGAACAAAACAAAAGATCGTAGTGTTAAGACCAATAGGCACCAAATAGCTAAAATGGAACTTCACAATAATGATAAATTTAGGCACCGATATTAAATTGGGTGCTAAGCTGCACAATATGTTCAGGTAGAAGATGCACAAGCAACAGATGTAGTAATAAAATCAATGGGCCACTAAAAGAACTTTATTATGCCCAACTTTGGCGCCTATTTATTGTCATCCCAGAATCCTACTCTGGGAAGCGGAAAGAAGGATTATGAAGGATTTTGGTTTTGCATTAAAACCAGCAAACAGTTCCTTCACTGTGTACACAGTAATGTGCAAAAGCAAACAGGAAAGCCTGTGCCAACTAGCAGGCATCTGAGGGAGTGTTCATTACCACTTCTTCTGAGGCAGGAGAGCAGAAACACAAGCCAAAAGCAGCTTTACTCAGACTCCTCTTTAAAACACCTGTTCCTCTTAGAGACGGCATAAAGCTACAACAGTAGAGGACTTGGAAAACTTTGCATCTCCTTGGCAGAGGTGGACTAAGCTTAGGAGGAGAAAGTCACCGCATTTATAGTGGTATCAGTGTATGAAACACTCCTCACTAAGCATCTTCAACAATCCTAGCAAGAGTTCAGGGTTCAGTTCTGTGGCAGCATAAGTCCATCCAAGCCATACCCTGCTGTGGGACCATCCCTACCAGTGCACCGTGCTTGTACTGGTATAAGCCAGCAGTGATGGACAAGGAAGAAGCTGGCTCAGAGATGCGATCTGGCTAAGAACTGCATCAGCTCACTTGGTAATCACAGAGACACCCATGCACAGGAAGAAGCAAAAGTGTGCAGCCAGCAGTGCAGAGGAAGCAAAGCTTTGGCATCTATGGATTTCAGGCTCTATTTCCATGGGGATCTATTAGGATGGCAGTGCTCTTTAAAGCAGCCCTGTCCTCTACCTCAGTGCTTGTTCTCACGTCTGCATCATGCCAAGTGCTTATGCAGACATGCAGTTGATTTAAAAACAAAACAAAACAAAGAATCCAAACAAACACACACACCCCCCAAAAACACACTAAAACCAAAAACAACACCCAGAAACAAAACTGAAAACAGCTTCCCCAGCTGGGTCAGGTCATTGACTTAATTTACTGTGTTGCTGCACAAACAGCTGACCTGGCACAGTGCAAGGATGGGAATAAGCGGTTGGGCCTTGCTAATGAATGTGAACCTAGAGTGCTTGCAAGCACCTTTGATCTGGTGTTCTAGCCCACACAGTACTGTCATAAAAAGACAGACAAGCAAACACATCAAAACTGCATGCAAGACTTGCAGTACTTTCCATTCCGAGGATGACACTGTATGGTAAAAAAACCTATTTCCCAATTATTTTTTTTTAGTCATTGAGTGTAATTCTGCTGTAGAACATTATTTTGTAACTAAACTACTTTCAAATTCAGCAAATTTGCAGCAGCTCTTCTAAAGCAAGCAAGCTTTTGGTTTTCTCAGCATCACGCAACAAGCCCAGAATGTGACCCCTAGCTTTCTTGCTAGTACTTAGAAGGTGTCCAATGACCCCACTGATATACATAGTAAAAATGCTCTTGGATCTCCCTCCATTTGCTCCCATATATGCCTCTCTCACACTCATGCATTTTTGGAGAGATAACTCATTTACTTACAGATAGATGTTGTCGAAAGTGCCATCTTTTTCACAGATGTTTAAGACATGATTCAACATTTTAGTTCCTGCCAAAAGGTAAAGAGACACTTAAGAAAACCAGAAGTGCACAATCAAGTCTGTACTTAGCCAATGCCTTTCTGGAGGAAGGGCAGGTTAGCTGCAGGTAGGCTAAAATGTCAGAGCTTGTCAGAACTAGGAAAGGCAAATAAAACACAGTGTATAAATATTTTGCTATCTTTCTGACTGCTCACAAAATTTAATTAATTGGTTTTTTGGAGAAAAAAAAAGACACAACAGCCCAGAAGCATACCTATAAAGCGGCTTATTTAAATACTAGCTTCAAGGTCTCAAACTCACCTCAAAATACGGTCAAAACAATGTATAAAGCAGCAAGAGCATTGGTAAGTTTTTCTAATAAAGATCTAGTAAAATAACTTAAAATAAAGTTATATTTTCATTCCACTTTACCAAAGCAAACAGGTTACTGTAAGCTCTCAATTAATTTGGCCTATGGATTTGCAACATGGAGAAAAGAGCTGATTGCACTATAAACAGAAAGCAGGTACTACCCCTGAACAGCAATAATCAGTAGCGATAAAGACAAAATGAATAGAAAAAACCCTACATTTAGAAGAGTGAAGAGATAACCCAATGAAGGAATGTTGTGTTCTACTTATACATGACTTGCATACTGGCTGCATACATCTAATAAACTATTTCATATCCCTGTGCATCAATTTTCACGTCTATAGAAGCTGAGTATTTACATCACAGTCTGATAATCTGATTAAGATTTAAATAATCTGAAATCCTCAATTAGAAAGTTCTACAAAATGTCCATTTTTGAAAGGCAGGGAAAAAAGAGCACATCATAAATCATTTCCCCAACTCTAAAAAGTCCGTTCCAAAGAAATCAGTGGTCTAAAAGTGCACGACCTTGGTTAAAAATCTGAAAGAACATTTAGAAGGCTGCACAGCAATCCGGTTTCTTTGATGACTCAGATACAAAAGATCTTCCTTACCTATTCCTAGCCTTCGGTAGGGTGCCAGGCATCCAAGTGTCATGATGTACAGTCTCTTCTGGTTCTGGGAGTGATCCACCCTACAGCACACTGCTCCCACTGCAATATCATTGAAATAGGCTGCCACGGAGGGAAACAAAGTGTTATCAGTCACAAACTGCGCATGCAGCTCCTTCATTTACGCCCTGTATCTTCCTTCTTTCCCTCTTGCTAATTCCCCCATCCAGATAAAATACTATACATTGTGGCTTAACACTTGGGGTGAAGTTACCAGTGGTGCTCTGACACAGTGCTTGGTTTATTACCGTTCAAACCAACTAGCAATGACAACAGGAGGTAAGCTGGCAGCATGCATATCTCAAGTTTTCTTCTGTAACAGAAAACATGCCTATTCCCAGTAAAATGGAATCTATCTAGAACACAAACCTTCTGAGGTTGGGACTGCGGCTTTTTTTGGAGGTTCCCAAACAGTTATTTTTCATTATGTAAAACAATAAAATAGAAGGATCTGCTATTCAAAACCATTATAGATAGCAATGATGAGCACTTCTGCCACCATAGCCCACAATTACTGGCAAGAACATTTGTACCTAATTTGGCTAGTTCGCCAACCTCCAGTACATCCTTGTAGAACTTGTCATTGTAGCTCACAGGAAAAATGACCTGGTTTAGCCTCTTCAGCTGCTTAATGTTGTGTGGCGTCACATCTCCCAGTTCGATCCGGCTACTGGAACAAATCAAAACATGCTTTACATCTGACACATTGCAAAACTTCTAAGGACACCAAAAATTAATTATTTATGCTTAGAGAACTGTCCCACCTAATAATCAGTTCAATACGTATTTGAACTGCAATGTTCAACCCACACAATTAAGTCTTCTCTTGGTGGCTGATTTAACTCCCAAACCCAATTTCGGTTGGTACTATACAGTGGGAAGTTTCTCAGGCCACACTTAACACTGATGTATCATAGTATAGGTGTGGTTTTATTGGGTGGGAGACAGGAGAACACAAATCTCTCTAGGAGTATTTGCTTTAACTTTATGCCATTAATTTCCTCACTGATCATGAAGATCACAGGGGGAAAAAACAAAGAAACAAAAAAAAACCAACGAAGAAAAGATAGGAGGGACAGGAGACTAGAAGAGAGACCAAGAAAATGAAGTTCTAACCCATGCTTCACTCAAAGCCTTAATTTTACCACCTATCAATATAAAGCTTATGCTTAGACAAAGACTAAGTCACTACTAAACATGTCTCTAAAAAGCAACAATACTGTGTGCAGCAAACTCATATTAAGCCTGTTAATATGCAAGTGTGCCACTCTCAAGGTGATACCCGCATCTATTATGATCATCACTGAAGTCATTCTTCCAAAAAGAGCAGAATCACAACCTTAAAATACCAGTACTGCACTGAATTATACTGAGAAGAAACAGACCAACTTTTTCCCTTTTCTAAGACTAACTTTCTGACAGAAACACTACATACACAGAAGCAAATTAAAAAAAGAAAAGAAAAAAAAAGGGGGGATATTAGTTGTTCATATTCCCTAAGCCAATTTCTTGGGTGCAGATACAGTTTTAATGAGGACTACAAGAATGAAAAATAAAAACCCAAGGTAATCAAAATCTTTTCCCAATAGTCACCAAAACACATAGGCAGGTACAAAGCCAATACATGTTATGTTAGAAATGCACACAATTCTAGGTTCGTCTCAGCCTTGTTTTACTGAATACATACAGGCAACCAAATTGTTTTCTGCTTAAACATTGGTAAAGACACTGTTTTCCTTTTTAAAACAAGCCAAATTCTGTTTTCAAAAAGGCAGCTTTCTAAGATCCTTGTACGCCATGCTTCAAAGTTCATTCCAGTAACATGCAGTAGCTGCTTTCCACTTCCAATGCCTTTGTGTCTAGGCAGCTTGTTTTTTCAGATAGGTTGATGCCTAGGACACAATAGCACAGATTAAATTTAATAATACAGTGAAACAAAGATATAATAACCAACAACTTTTTTCTTCAAGAACTGTACCAAGCACTGTGGAGTATAATCTGTCTCTGCTTTATTAATGCACCTTGATTATACATCAAAAACTCTTAAATGATTAGTACTCCAGATACTGTATCAGTTTTAGTTGTCACTACCAATGATGGGTGATGAATATACAATGCTTTCTAGGTATTGTACTGCAGCCTGCAAAACTATCAGAAAAAGCTACGGGAATGGAGCCTTTAACGTTTACTCAAGAAGCATAACTTGCCCTCACAGCCACTTTCTCCTTTTCTTTTACAGCAAAGAATAGAGTTTTCAGTTATTAAAAGGTATCAAGGATCACCATTGCCCACTCTCTGGTATGATACAGAGCAGCCAATCTCCCTAGTGAGGCCTGCAGAAGCTAAACAATTTGTAAGCCGGGCCTACCTTTTAAAGAACTGTCTAGCATTAACTAATGCACTATTGATGAGTTTGTAATTCTCCATCTGATTAATATGTTCCAGTTGCTACTTAGAATTAATGGATGGCATTTACATATCGAACTTTGCTGACTCCAAAGTCTAACCTTTTGTCACACATTTGCCAAAGAGATTAAAACAACCCCTGGTGTCAAGCATCTCATGCCAGTATGGGTGCTTGCAAACTGTTCCAGCCAGCTCCTCATCTGTCTTCCCCCTACCATACTGAACATGTCCATCTTTTTCGTCCCTTGCTGCAAGGGCAATTGCTAAGCAACAAATGCTTGTCATTTGCCCCTAAGCTCTGCCCAATTGTACAATGATTTCTTGAGAGCTATCTCACCAGAACTGGACAGTACATTCTCCAACAGTGATCTCAAGAATGACAGAAGCAGCAACAGTCTCTATATTCTTGCATCTCATCTATGTCAAGATACCCAGGCATACTACAAGCAACAGCAGTGGGATATATGTCTAAAGTTTCTAGCTATAAACCATTATATTGTGCTGAAATAGTCTGCAGTATCTCTTTTACGTGACTCCTACCACTGCCAGCTCTTTGTTTCATAGCCTTTTCCATCTTCAAGATTATTTTTGCTCTCAAGATTCCTTTCTTCGTGTATCACCACTTGTGCAAGTTCCTTTGATAATTATATTCCAACATAAAGTTAAGTACTGAGCTAGTAAGGAAGAACTCCTCACACCACAAAAGTACTCCCATTGTAAACAAGCATGCTATCAAAGTTATTAGACAGCGGGGTAACTGTAATACTTGTTTTATGCCCAGCATAGCACAGCTGTTCAGCCTAGCATGGCAGGGCTTCTTCAGGCACAGAGAAGGCAAGTTGTGCCCTTTTCTAATCCCAGCCAGCAGTGCTGCTACCTTTTCCTCACAAAGGGTAGGAATATAACTCTGGCATGTGGGTTCCCAGGTGTATTTGTGTCTGGGAAAGGGGTTTGCCGGAGC